GATATAGTATTGAGTTTGATTCTAACAAAATAAATTAACTTTTTGAATAAATTATAATTTTTTTTGAAAAAAATAACATTAACAATTTTAAAAAATAATAATAACATTATGATTTAAGTCGTGACATATTTTAGTTGTCCCCACTACATATAAACCTCTGGCTCCGTCCTTGGTTATAATTAACTAATTTTCAACACGAATAAAAAAAAATCCAATTAATATGAAATAATAAACGAAATTAGTTAGTGTCAAACGCAAATAACTTGAATTTTAAATGATAAACACGTTTAAGGGCTATTGTATAAATAAAATAGCTGATTTATTAACAAGAAATTTGTAAGGACTTTTCATACTTTGCACCTTGAAAGATTTTAAAATTTTAATTTTTATCCTTAAAGATTGTATTTTTCACATTGTACCCTAAATATATTAAAAATATTACAATGTAATTATTCTATTAGTTTCTATTATTTTTTCCGTCAAAAGTCAGCCCATTGACACTGACGGAAGAAATTAACGGAAAGCTAATAGAAGAGTCATATTACAACATTTTTAATCAATTGAAGACGCAATGTAAAAAAATTAATATTTATCGGTGTAAAATAAAAATTTTAAAATCTTTCAAGGTACAAAATACAATTCTCCTAATTTATAAATTAAGAGATTTCTTTTACTTATTATTGCTATAATATAAAGTTGAATAGATTTACAGCCTGTGAAAAAACAATGAATGATGGGGAAATAATGAGATCCTGTTGTCAAATTTGTTAATTTATGTTGGTCGCAAATAGGGGTGTCAATCGTGTCGTGTCATTATTAGTCGTGTTATTTTCGTATCGTATCATTTTCGGTGCATGTCGAGTTCGTGTCAATATTTGTGTTAATAAAAAAAATATTTAATTTGACAACAACTAATATAATATTATTTAAAAAATTATAAAATTCTTATTTTTTATCTAAAATACTCATTAAATAATTATTTTATATCTACAGTACCTATTAATCGTGTTATTCGTGTCGAATCTTAATTTGACCCATTTATTACTCGTGTCAACGAATTGTGCTATTTTCGAATTCGTGTCGAGTTCGATTCGAATCGAATTTGTGTTCGAGTCAAAAATTGACGCCCTAATTGCAAATATAAAAATATCACCACTTAGTATGTTTCCATTGTGACCCCTTAAATAGACTAGTTAGGGCTTATGTGTGATTGGGCTGTGTATGGCTATTGGAGCTTTGACTTTTATTGGGGCCAGCAGATTCTTATTCCTATCTATAAGATTTGTCATGTGGCGGCTAACATATGTATCTGATATCGACCCGCCTTTTATTTAATGTTATTTTTAATCTCGTGAAAGTTGTGATTCATTAACAAGATGGGCAGACCGTCGTTTGAATGAATCACATATCCAAGTTTTTAGCGTGAGTTATAAATTTTTATTCAAAATTTAAGTTTTAATTTAACTGATATATGAGTTGAGAGATTAATTCATACATCTAAAATTTAGTCTCGATTCTTTGTAGACTCACAAGCCTAGACAACTAACTCACCTCAACCTTGTTGAATACCGACAAAAAAATTTCCCTTACAACCGAAAAAATACATATGTATCTGGTATAAGATTATAAAATTTCATTTTCATAGTACAAAATTTCATTGTCTTGTAATTAAAAATTTTTCATATTTTCAGGTTTGAAACTTCCAACATTCAAAATACAACTACTACCGCTTCTCATTATAAAAATGCAAAAAAGATCACATGCCCAAAGACTATATGGCCACCACTTTGATTTTACTCGTTTAGTTGAATTCTTAGTATAATATTCGGTTTTTCAAATTCTTTCAGAGTTTGGGTAATGTTCAGTACTGGTGTAAAACGTGGAATGCTCACATGTACATCGTGTTATTTGTATTGTGTCGTTATCATTTGTGTCGTATTCGTGTCGAGATTCACAAAAAAAAATATCTATTTTATGTATTCTGAGTATTAAACATTAGTCTAAATTATATATTACGTGTATTTTATAATTATATCAATTTTATAATCGTTCGTGTCAGGTTCATATCAACGGGTCAGAGTTGACACCATTAATCTTTAGTCCAATATATTTGTACAATAAAAATTATATCTTCAAGATTAGATCATATCTTTTTTTTTTGAGCTAGTTTACTCACACATCGATTAATCTACACTTCGATAAAAAATAGATCATTTGCACTTCAATTAAAATATTTATGAAAAATATATTTCTCATAACCTGATCCCAATCAGGTGCCAATATTCGTGCTCAAAATATTTAAGTTTACAATTCGTCTCTGTGACCATATGAACTATCTCTTAGGATTAAAATTAGGTCATGTGATTGCATAAAGTGAGAGCAAAACAAGGTCTCCACATTCCTAAGAAATAATTTTTTAATTTTTTTGAAAATATTTAATGCCTAGTTTTAAGTGATTAAAATAATTCACTGGAATAAATTTTTAAAATTTGAAGAGCTGTTCTCGTTCCACAAATCTAATCATGATGATAATGTTGAATTAATATTTTTTGAAGAAAAATATAGTAATAGTTTTTAAAATATGTGTTTTGTGTCAGTTTAATATCCATTTTTTAATCGTGTCAATTTAGTCTATTAAATATTTAATTTGTATCACTTTGATCCAATCGAAAATCACAATTTAAGTTGACTAGACATTGGTGCACGTATCCCATTTGACTACACTTAAGGGTTCCTCAAATCTATAATATACTTTTTTTTGTTTCTCTTACATTTTAAAAAGAATAATGTTATGTAACTCAAATCCGGAATTATAAATTTGGGATACATAGTATTTCCTTTTTAAAAATTGCCCTTTAAATGTGATTACGTGAGATACACATGATCGTCTTCATTATTCAATTTGAACTATTATTTTTAATTGTACCAAAATAAAATAAATTGAATACTTGAAAGACCCAATAAATACAATTAAAATATTATGAATCAAAGTGACACAAAGTATATAATTTAGAAACCAAAAATATATTTTACCCAATTTTTTTTTATTATAAACATCCACTCGACTTTAAATCCCTCTAAATTAACTATATCCCATAAAATGAAGTACATATTGGATAAAACGGTCACACTATATTAGTATCGTCACGAGATATAACTACTCAATAATAATTAATTGAATAGTAAAATGGACTTCACTCATTCAAATAACTACCCTCCATATAAGATAATAACAATTCATGTAAAAAAAAAAAGAGCAATGTTGCATAGATTTAAAAACTAAACTTGATAAGTAGGGTCACCTTATTCACTTATTTATTTAAAATTAGACTGTTATACCACGTAAATAAGCTTGTCAATAGAGTAATTTTAATCTAAATTCAAATTTATTTAATCGGATATGAATTAATATTTTAATATGTTCACCTGCATCCGATAAAAATTTTTAACCAGATTTATATTGGATACATGTAAATTTGATCCAATAAAAATGTGATCTGGTATCTATATATACATACATAGTTAGTTAGATTATTAATTAAATTGATATGAAATTAAACAGAAATTATTATATAAAATGATTGGTTGATTAAATTAAATTAAAAGTTAACTTATATTTAATAAAATTATTAATTTTTTATGAAATATTGTTGCATTCAAATTTTCAGATCAATAGGATAATTGAATATCCGATTATTAACATATATGAATATGAATTACAATTTTAAAACTCGTCAATTAAACAGATCAAATTCAATTTAAGTTTTTATCAAAATTTAAATCTGGATAAATCAAGATTGAATTCAGATCTAATCCGTTAACAAACTTTATTCGTAACATTGATCCCGTGATATATAACGGCATCAATGTTTTAACACAATTGTCACCTGCCCGCAGTCCACTTTAAAAAAAAAGTCATATGTTTAATATTTAGAGGTAGGTATGCCTAACTTTTTTTTTTTTTTTAGGAAAAATTACCCTTAAAATCTCTTAAATTTTATCATTTAATCATTTAAACCCCTATTATTTAAAATATTACATATAAACCTCTAAAATTTATACGTTTATAATATTTAGACCTCTGTCGTCTGTCACTGATTAGTAAATTATACTCAAACTCTTTAAAATTTGTGCATGTATAATATTTAGACACCTCAAGTTTAACATGTTACATTTAAATAAAAAATACTCTAATTAAAGATAGAATATTAAATATTTAAAATTTTACAACTAAAATTCATATTTTATCGTATCATTTATTAAAATAAAATAAAAAATATAAATTTAATTTTTCTTAAAAAATTATAATTAGTATGTAATTATACTATCTATTGGAATAAAACTAAGAAAATCAAACAAGCGGTCTAAGTCATTCATAATAGAACATGAATTTTACAACCAAAATTTATGTTCTATTATATCATTTATTAAAATAAACTCAAACATAAAAATCTAATTTTTTTTTCTTAAAAATCGTAATCAGTATGCAATTTTATTATCTATTGAAATAAAACTAAAAAAATTAAACAATGGCTCAAACCGTAATGGATATAATATTTTCTAACTTTAATTAGGGTTAACAACCAAATTAAATTCCAATAGATATTATAATTGCATAATAATTATGATTTTTTAAGAAAAAATTAAAATTTTATTTCAATAAATGTCATAATAAAATATAAATTTTTGTTATAAAATTTAAAATATTTGATAAATATATTTGATTGAAGTATTTTTTTGTCTAAATATAATATTTTAAACTTGAGATATCTAAATATTACACGCTTATAAACTTTAAAGAGTCTGAGTGTAATTTACTAACATATATACTAATGGACATTGACGACAGGGTTTAAGTGTTCCGCCTGTACAAACTTTAAAGGATTCATGTGTAATATTTTAAATATTAGGGGATTTAAATGATTAAATGATAAATTTCAGGGATGTTGGTGTAATTCTCCTTTGTTTTCGTGTTTAAGAGAAGGCTGAGAAGCACCTTTATGCAACCTTCAACCTTGTTCAGTTTTTTCTCTATGCCATTCCTGCAATACCAAGCTCTCCAGCTATGAAGATGATAAGGGCCACATTTTTCCTTCTTCTTCTTCCTCTCCTAATGACCCACCTGGGTTCTAGCCGCTCCGTTACAGAGAACTTGAGCTTCAAATCTGATGGTGTTGATAATACAAGCCGATCAGCAATGGTTGAATTGGATTTGAAGGCGTCAACGGTGACTTGTGAGCCAACTTATGGCTTCTTACCATGCACAACAGAGCTATGGGGGCAACTCTTCCTCATAGTGGTGTATCAGGTCTTGCTTTCACTTGCACAGCAGTATGTCTCGGTTGGCTCTGACCACTTCTTCCAGATTGTTGGACCTGGTGTCTTTGGAGCTGGATTATTCCACGTCCTTGGCGCAATCCCAGAAATAATGGTGGTGCTCAGTAAGTAACTTCCTTGAGCTTTTCTTTGGCTGGTAATTCAGTCGAGCTTGTATATTTAAGTATGCTCTCATTCGCTTTGGTTGTAATTTGTCTAGTCGAGCTCAAATTCATCTTAGCATATGTTGCAAGTATTCGAGTCGAACTCGACCTACAATTTGCTTTGACTTCTCAACAAAAAAATTTGCAAAAGTTAAATGGTATTACTCAAAAATCCATTTAGCGAGAGAGAGAGAGAGAGAGAGAGAGTGGGTATATGATTTGAAGCTACCGAAGGATGAGTTTAGGATTAGTCATCTTTTGGACAAAGGGATTTGGTAAATTCGAGCTGAGCTAGACATTGCTTGTATTCGACACATTTGCAAAACAAAATTAAAAATCTAATCAATGCTTTTGTGTTGTAATTTGAACAATCTTGAAAGAACCAAAATCAAGCTGAGCCTAAACCAAGTTCAAGCTAATCAGATCATTTAACAGCCCTAATTTTATGTTAACACTTCATTTGGTTCAACTTGTACACAGGACATGGCTGTGAGTCTATCAATATCATTAACCACAAGGCAATGTTTAAGCCTGCATTCAACGAATACGCACACATAGTCTAAATTCTCTCTGTTGGAGGTTTTACAACTTTGAGTTCCATGACTAATTCAGTTCACATTTCAAATTTTAGGGACCAAAGTGACATGATACAATTGTGTACTTTTAGTACCAAAAGTATATTTTACTCCACTTATAGCTTGCCTAACATCCCTTCATATACTTAGAGTTGTGAAAAATCTGATGTAGTAGATTATGTTCTTTTCAGTGTCTGGACTTTCAGGAAGCAGTGAAACTGCTGCAGTACAGGCAACAATGGGAATGAGCAGTAACGCAGGATCTGCCGTCATGAATCTTACACTTATATGGGGTGCTTGTGTTGCTTTTGGCAGCTATGATCTTTCAGAGGACTCGGCCGTATCACATGTGGAAGACAAGAGACCAATAAGTCTAACTGGTTATTCCCTCTTCCCTAAATTTCTTCATGTGTCCTTGAACATCCGGTAATTATACAATCGACCAAGGCTCTCTCTTTCTGCAGGTTTTGGTGTTACTACTGATGTTGAAACTAGCTATACAGCAAGAATCATGATCATATCCATGATCCCATTTGTCATTCTTCAACTAGCTACTATTCTCCATTCATCTTCTGCGACACATGTGATAGTTCTAGTTTCTTTCATAGTAACGCTCGCATTATTCTTTGCTTACTCCTTCTATCAGGTAATACAAATTTGATCTTAAGTTTCATTTATAAGATGTCTGCGTGAAACAGAGACATCTTATAACTGAGAAGAGTTATAACTAAGATGTCTGCGTGAAACAGAGACATTTTGTTTCTATTTGTTCCATGCAAGAAACAGAGAAGAGT